TAAATAAAATCACGATTTTTAAGAAAATAGCATATAATTCATCTTTAAGATGAGCCCAGAAAGAAGTTTATATTTTTCTGGAAGATATGAATTTTTAAACATTGGGGAAAAGAGGCTTCAACGCAGGTAACACGGCAATTTTAAGATAGGATCTGAATTGCCTTTGATCAATTACGTTCGATACGAAATAATTGCTAGGAATATAAAACTTCTTGTGAATCTTAGTGCATAAAAAGTTCCATGTGAATTTTTATATACATTATTTGACCATTTAGTGAATTGCGTATTTTACATATAATCTTTCTTATATACGCATATATAATATTAAATATTAAACTGCAATATTAAACTGTAACATTATAATATTAAACTGTATAGTAATCGGTATATATATAGAGAGAAGAAATGAGTCTTTCGGAAAATTCATATTCAAAAATTCAATTAACTTGGTAGAACTTTGTAACGTTCACTTATGTTAATTTTTGCATAACAATTTATTTTTGCAAACTGTATAACAATTTTTCAAGTAATTTAACTAACTGTAAGGTCACAGCTTATTTCACAATTTTTTAATAGCGCCAATGATATTGTTGGCTATTTGCATAAATATTAATGTCTTATATAAATGCCATGATAACACTGTTTTTTCGGTTTAAACTTAAACATGCAGAATAATGCATGAATTGACTAGTGCACTGGCCATTGAAATGTAAACTTTTATTCTCCTATAAATTATTTCAAAATATAAATTATAGGAAACGGTTTAAAAACGAGAAAGATAAGATTCATAAAATTAATTTGTACCGTGGTTGTTACATGTGGATTATATTCACATGTCTTTTTCAAATAGAGAGGTTAATAATAATTATAATATGCACACGTGTGCACTTTTGTGTAAATATGCTCTGCATAAAATAAAGTTACTTAAATATGCATATCGTATTTACATGTTTTGTTTACATATATTAAATTTAGTTTTACTTATTACTATATATTAGTTTTATTTTCATCGTTATTTCATGTGCCATAATTCTGTTGTTGCTTTCTCAATTATTTATTTATAGCTAACACATTATTCATAATAATTAACAAATTAATAAATGTGGAAATTATTTAATGTACAATAATTCAATTAATGATAACTCATATCAGCAGAATAAGTATTTTAAGCTATTTTAAGATACCATTATAAAGCGACACGAATTTATTGTTTCTTTGATGACAAACAATATGATATTTATTTAGTTAAGTTTTGCACAGATTTCATCGACGACACCGTCTTTTTGAGGGATTACCGTTGAGGGATTATCGTTGAGAGACTTGAGAGTATACATTCTGTTTAATGGAGAATTTTCTT